ATATATATATATATATATATATATATATATTACACTTAATAGACAATTAGTAGATGTACATTCAAACATTTGGAAATTAATCCTTGATATGTATATTTTAATATTAATATTCATGTGGGTCACCTAGTGCTTGGCATTAAATCTGTTAATGATTTAAAAGTTATTATTAAAGCTAAACAAAATTTTGACAAGAGGAAACTAAATTATTTATAGTATTAAACGGATTATCCCATTAATAATAATAAAAAAAAAACACTAAAAGTAGCCTAATAAAAAAAGTTTAATTTGAAAATGGTTTAAGACGAATAATATTGGAAATACTACAAATAAAAGGACATTGAAATAAGTAATGTACTTTAAGTGGTAAAGATGAAAAGTGAAGCGTCTCACTTTCTGTTTTATTGTTGTGGCTACTCTAAGCCCCGCCCCCACTCTGGAGCTGACGCTCTGATTGGCTGACGGGGCAGCTGTCCCGTCTCCGTCTAGACCGCAACCGGGCAGAACCCGCGCGACTGCTCCACGGACGCACCGGAGCACGCAGAAGCCACGGATCGTTACTTGTAGACAGGACTCTAAGGAAGCTCGTTAGGTTTATTCCGGAACGGGACTAACGGAACACGGCGCCGTTTCACACTTTAACGGACCCTCTCGCTCTGGCACGAGACTGCGTCTGAACTCCGGTAAAAGCTCGCGCTGGAATTCCGCCGATAGCGTCATCATGGCTCGGTTCGGCTTCGGGCTCGCGCTACTGGCGCTCGCGGTGGGGCTCGCGCACGCGTTTGGGGACGAGGAGGAGATGAGCTGCGACCCGATCCGCATCTCCATGTGTCAGGATCTCGGATACAATGTGACCAAGATGCCGAACCTGGTGGGAAACGTGCTGCAGTCCGACGCCGAGCTGCAACTGACCACATTCACACCGTTAATACAGTACGGCTGCTCGAACCAGCTGAAGGTGAGAGTTCACAACACACACACACACACTGTAACTAGATCCTACACAACACACACATTTTTAAATCTTGACATGATATGAAAGCAACAACATCAGAAAAACAGTAACAATATGACGATATTATTATTATTAAAATCCTCATTACATTATAAAAACAATAATTACTATGATAAATAACAATATACTATAAAGTATTACAAAATAATTATTAATCATTATTGTGACAAAGGAACAATTAATTAAAATAACGATTTATAGTAATACGCATAATCACAATAATAAAAAATATTCTTTATAAAATTATGATTAATAATAAATTACAAAAATTTTATAATATTTAAAACAAATATATAAAATATAAATATATATGAAAAAGTTATTTTTATCGTTATTAATAATTATTGTGACAAGGGAAAGATTCAAATGTTTCATAATAATATTAATAATCATTATTTTTTAGTATTAGTATTATTATGATAATAATTATTATTATTATTACGGTTTTTATTAAGGTGCCAGTAATGTTTACAAACAATAATGTAAAACAGTCATTCCAATCAAGTACTTCTAATTCAGAATTTTACCCAGAATTTGCGTGCACACACACACACACACACTGAACTCAGGCTCTACACACAGTGCGTTTGTCTCATTATACTTGTGACGACCAGATTCCTGGAATTGTTTTAATAAATGCCTTAAAACGAACTTGTGCTGGTCTGTATGGTGTTCATAAACTGGCCAAATGATCTCTTAATACACTAGGAGCTTTCTGTAAGTGTATAAATATACGAATTATCTTAAGCATAATTCCAAGTTGATTAATTTGAGGACAGTATGAAGTCCTTGTAAGTGTGTGTGTGTGTGAGTATTGAAGACAGAGGCAGTTGTTGTTTTATTGATTCAGCGCGGAGAAGAAACCTCCCACTCGGATTCCCGTGTGTGTTTGCTGGAGAATCTCGTGATTAAAGCTGCTTTAGATGCTGCCCAAAGCTGCTCTTGGATATGAAAATGGCATATTGATGCATGTTTTTCAGTCCACAATTGTTGATTTCTTGAAGTGTATGTGACCACAGCACAAGTTTGTAGCTTCCTCTTATGAGAGCAGTCCTGCATCACAGAATTTCCCTACTCGTACACACAGCAGGGAAACCCATAACATACAAAACTCACAAACACTTGGAACAGACATGCAACACATACCATCCGCACATGTATAAAGCAACAAACCAATGGTTTCTTCTCCTTTAGAGCTTCAGAAAACAACGTTGAATAGCCCAAATTTGTGCCATTTAGGCATGCAACGCATGCCATCTGCACACATATAATGTGACAAACCAGTGTTTTTCTCCTTTACAGCCTCAGAAAATGTGCAATACTAGAATCACACATTTGAAAAGCACTAATTTGTGACACTTAGACATGCAACACATGCCACCTGCACACATATAATTGATGTTTTTTCTCATTTAAACTTTTGAAAAACATGCAATACAAGAAAACCAATTAGACATGCAACACGTGTCATCTGCAAACATAATGTGACAAAGCAATGTTTTTTCTCATTAAGAGCTTTAGAAAACATGCAATTCTAGAAAACACATTGATACTGCACACATGATGTGACAAAGGCAATGTTTTTCTCCATTAGAGCTTCTGAAAAAAAATGCAATGAAAAACACATTTGATGCTGCAAACGATGCAACAAAAGCAATGTTTTTCTCCAGTGGAGCTTCTGAAAACATGCAATACTAGAAAAACTGCAGCTGGCATGTGTTGCATATCTATGATGCGACAAACCAATGTTCTTCGCTAGGCCTACAGCTTCTAAAAACATGCAATACTAGAAAACAAATCTGATGCTGCACATGTGATTCGACAGACCAATGTTTTTCTCCTGTAGAGCTTCTAAAAACATGCATTACTAGAAAACACATCTGAAAAGCACAAATTCGTGCACGTCTCAGACTTCAGCTGCTTATGAGGATTTAGAAGCTCTCCTGATTTTCCAAGACATATTTTGTGTGTTTGCAAATATCTAATCCTCTCCCCGGCTTTGCTTTCTTGCAGTTCTTCCTATGCTCCGTCTACGTTCCCATGTGTACGGAGAAGGTTCCCATCCCGATCGGCCCGTGTGGCAGCATGTGCTTGTCTGTAAAGAGGAAGTGTCTTCCGGTCCTGCAGGAGTTTGGTTTTGTGTGGCCGGAGCTCTTGAACTGCAGCCTGTTCCCGCCCAACAACGACCAGAACCACATGTGCATGGAGGGTCCGGGCGACGAGGACCTGCCGTTTCACGCCGTCCGGCCGATGCCGCCACAGGAGGAGGAGTGCATGGCGCTGGGAGACGGCGTGGAGAAGTATGCATGGGTCAAGCGCAGCGGCAGCTGCTCGCTGCAGTGCGGATATGACACGGGATTGTACCAGCGACAGTCCAAAGTCTTTACCGATGTGTGGATGGCAGTGTGGGCGGTTCTCTGCTTCATCTCCACCACGTTCACCGTCCTGACCTTCCTAGTGGACTCCTCACGGTTTTCCTATCCGGAACGGCCTATTATTTTCCTTAGCATGTGCTGCAATATTTACAGCGTGGCCTACATCGTCCGGCTGACCGTTGGTCGCGAGCGCATCTCCTGCGACTTGGAAGAAGCGGCTGTGCCTGTGCTAGTGCACGAGGGGTTGAAGAACACAGGCTGCGCCATCGTCTTCCTCCTAACGTATTTCTTTGGCATGGCGAGTTCAATCTGGTGGGTGATCCTGACGCTCACGTGGTTCCTGGCGGCTGGGCTGAAGTGGGGTCACGAGGCCATCGAAATGCACAGTTCGTACTTCCACATCGCAGCTTGGGCCATTCCCGCCGTCAAGACCATCGTCATCCTCATCATGCGGCTGGTGGACGCTGACGACCTTTCTGGGATGTGTTACGTGGGCAACCAGAACCTAGATGCGCTCACTGGGTTCGTAGTTGCTCCGCTATTTACGTACTTGGTAATCGGGACGCTGTTTATTGCCGCCGGCTTGGTTGCGCTGTTCAAGATCCGCTCGAATTTGCAAAAGGACGGGACTAAGACGGACAAGCTAGAGCGGCTGATGGTAAAAATTGGCGTGTTTTCAGTGCTTTACACGGTGCCGGCCACTTGCGTCATTGCGTGCTACTTTTACGAAATCTCTAATTGGGCTGACTTTCGCCAGTCGGCGAGTGATTCGTACATGGCAGCAGAGATGCTGCGGATTTTTATGTCTCTGCTGGTGGGAATCACGTCGGGAATGTGGGTTTGGTCCGCCAAAACGCTTCACACGTGGCAGCGATGTTCCCACCGACTCGTGCACACTGGGCGAAACAGTCGCGTCAAACGGACCGCCAACGGCTGGGTCAAACCGGGAAAAGGCAACGAGACTGTTGTGTGATAAAGAGACGGAGGTGACAGAGGATCGTTCATTCACTTTTTTGCGAAATGTTCTTAAGATGATCTTACACTGGACGGACCTGGTGCAGCAGTTTTTCCGTGTAAATATGCACTACGTCAAACTCTCACTGAAGTGCCTTCGTTTTTGTGGACGAGCTACTCAACCGATTCTGGGAAACGTAGTTCTTTACTCCTCAGCGATCAGCGCCATTTACCTCGCAACACGTCACAGCTGCCGGAATGCTTACGAGACTTGTTAATGCTACGTTCACGTTGTATTTGAAATGAGAAATATTGAAGCAGAAAGTAAGTGTGCAATGGCATGTCAGAATTATGTGTAGAGGTTGCTAACTAACTTTAACTGTTGACATTTTGCTATCGTTTTACGTCTTGCACGACGTCACAATGCTCAAGTGAGTTTCCGTGAATGGTTTTTACAGGTCAAACTCAACAAAACGCGAACACATTATAAGTTATTGTGCAGAGATTTCCTTCACCATTTAGTTACTGTCTATTTTTGATATGACAAAGCTATGATGGGACTTTTGTTTTTGTGGTGGGGGGGTTGCGCTGTCAGACACACATTCACTCTGAATATGACATATGACAATCACTGACCGTGCCGTACGGGCCTCCCGTAGGGTCGATGAATGTATTGACCGATGATAAACTCTTAAACCTTTAAAAAGTGCCTCAAAAACTCACATGCAGGTGGTACAGTCCTGGATTTCATGAAGGACTTCTGGCTTGATTTGTACATAAACTGATGTTTGTAGTTGTAATGTTATTTTTGTGTTATGAAATGCTAATTTATCTTTGTAAAAACTAAGAAACTGAACAAAAATGAATTTATTTAAGAATGCTTTTGTATCAAATGAAAAATTAAACTTTGAAAATCAATTCCAGGCTCAATATGCATCTTTTGTTTATAGACGTATAGTTCACTATTAAAACTCCCTCTGTAGGTTTACAACTTCAGACGCCTTGTGACTCTAGTAAATCTGCACTATGTGACCAGAAATTAAAGGATTGTTTTGGGCATTATGTAGCAAATCTGTCTTCACAGAATTAGAGGCTTGACTCTTTTCTTTTTTTTTTAGATCTTTTTAAAATTCCTCCACCCAGAAATGATTTGGACAAAGATGTATCCTCCAGTCCAACTTTCCCCCTCGGGGTCACCACACCCGGCTCAGGGTTTCTTGTAAGACAATATCAGATGGTTATAGCTCTTTCATGGGTGATTAGTCTTGAAATGCTTTAATATGCTGAGTAAACCAAACATACATATGCATTATCAATATGGGAATTTAAAATTACCACATTTCACAGCCAAAAACAGTTGCGTAGTCGGGTAAATGGTCAGTTTAGAATAAATAGCCTACCGGTTTTTATCTAATGATTGTGGATTTAAATGTTTTACAAAATGTTTAGTCACATCAGCCAGTTTCTAATATGATGCTGCTCCCTACAGGTCAATTGAAGCACTACAGATGAACCCAGCAGAGGAGAACAGACTTTTGCAGTGACATGCAATCAAAATTATTTTTAGATTTGTGTTGCATCCCATAAAAAATCATCAGATTTTGTTTTCAAATGTATCTCTTTATATAATAAACAGCAAAAAAGTAAAACTTTGAGACACTTAACAGATAGTTGTGGTGACGGTTGTCTGATGGTCGGATGCATAACTTCCAGGAAATATGCTTCAATAACAGTAAATGCTACTTTTGAAATAAAGTCAACATGAAGTGGCATTTGCAACCCGTTTACTGTCATAATGTGAAACAAAAGTGGGACTTGATTGTGTCAAACAGAGCAAAGTTTCCAAAACTTGCCCGTGATGACCTTTAATTTGGCCCATCATTTCCACTTTTTTGTGGGGGGAAAATAGAGGGGGAAAACACGCCATTGAAGCATATCTTCATTTCTAATTTATCATATTGTTTTAACATTTAATTTGATTAAATTATAATATAGTTGGATTTAGTAGTTCAGCCCACAGCCCTCTGTCAAGTCTGATTGTTGGCACTTTGTAGTAAAACTTATAAAAATAGAAAGTTAACATATTACTCGCATCATACGACATGTAATGATGTTCAATCCATATATAACCATTTATCCTAACAACCAACCAATCAAGGTTATAAACTCTGCTAAATTCAACTACTACGACCTACCTGATCTTAATAGGAACAAATATAGCTTAGTTAATATTAACTCCTAAAATCATGACTTAACCAAAAGCATTTTGTAAACAGCCCCTAAAAACACATGTAACTGTGGAGTTAGCAAACTAGCTAATTACTTACATCGTTCAAAATACAATGTCTTGTAAGTGTACTTACAGAAAGCCCTTGGAAATGTTGTGGAACTCAGGAACCGATAAACTAGCGTCAACTCAGCTAACGCAAACTGCGATAAAACTTAGCTAGGCCTACGAGATACTGATGGACTTTTCTGTTAATTAAACATGAACTTCCCCTGCTGGTTAAAACTAACTAGACACAATTAAACGTGAACTATTCACATTCGGTTATTAAACTCAACTGATAATTAGTTTTTTTCGCGCAGGCCTACGTTGTCATATTTCATTTTACAGCGCGCGAATACAGGCGCTCGACGCATGCGCACAAGAAACATTATAAAAGATATTAGCGATATGCTAACTTGCGCGTAAAAACCTTTGGGCTGTATACAATTGTCTTTTGAATGTCAACTAACCGAATCTAAAAAAAAAAAAGTCTTGAAATAAACTAAACATCATCAAAAAAGGTTTTTGAAAAGCTAACTTATGAAAATCTTTAATTTGAGATGCTAATTAGGAAATCAGAGTCTGGGAACATTGTCAAACACATTTTTTTTTTTATTATTTCATCTTTTTTTGAGAAATACACAGAATAATTTAATCATAAATTACAGCCCTCTCAAGCAGTCAGAAAGCAAAGTGCATAAGACATTTCCACACGGAAACAGATTCATTTTAATTGAAAATTAAATATCTTGTTACTGTCACCTTGAGAACAATTTTACAGTAAAAAAAAAATATATTCAGCATGTCAGTAAATGTCAGTGCGGTGCTGTAGAAAAGTAAAAGAGTCAGTACTAGTCTGTACACATGAACAAACAGATGTGGACATATTGGCGTACAATAATGCGACGGTAAACATTGCATTTTGGGGAATGACCAGCAAAATCATGAAACAGTATTTGATTTTTAGGTATTATGTTTCTTTAGCTCGTCTGAGAACTGGCTTTAAAAAATAAAGCTTCAAATAAATCAGCTTCTAGAAGCAAATGAAATGTGCCAGCGTAAGACCATTTCAACATCATATTCTTAAATGAACATAGACAACAGTCATCAAGACTGTCTTGGTTATTTTATCAACCATACAACTGGCCCAAATCAGAATATTTACTTCAGTTCAGTCTTTAAAAAAGTTCTGAACTTTAAAAGTCCCACTCCTTGGAATAAAGTGGCACAATTTGAAACACTATACGGGATTGTGAAGTATATAGAGCAAATCTAGCCATAAAACTTTGAATCTTTTTATAAGCACCATTACAAATCCCTCTTCCGGCAACATAAACTTGAAATGTCTCTGTGGATTTGCCCACTGCATCTTTAGGATGCCGAAGAAAAGATGTGCTCTTCCAAATGAATGACTAGGGAAAGGAAGGTAGCGTTCTCAAAAGCTTGTTCAAATGTGCCAGGACAGTCCAGCATTGCTCCGTGAAAGCATCTGTCAGGGCCTGCTTCTATACAGAAGTGAAGCCACTTTAAAGACACAACGTTCAGCTGGACGATCTGCCCGATTTGTCCGTCTGCAGTCAGAGCTCTGGGTGCTGAAGCACTTCCGCTTGACAGAACGGGGAAAATCTCGTCGCATCTCCTCAGCGTTTCGTCATCACGTCTCCGACACGCTGAAGCTGTGAATGGCAGTCGCTGGTTAGAAATACAGGAATTCCATTGGTTATTCTTGGTGTCAACTTTACATGAAATCACTTGTGTATGAAAGGAACAGTTCACCCAAAAATCAACCCCAAATTTTTTTTTTTTAATCTTTTAATTGCAAATTCAAATAGCCTAGTGGCTATTGTCCATGCAAAAACAATGTCAAGATTTTCAGTGAGTTCAATTTCCGTCTGCGTCTCACACAAAGTTATCAAATGACTTCAGAAGATGTGGAATATAGTGCATAAGCTGTGTGGACTAGTTGAAATCCTATTATAGTTTTTATTAATATTTTGAATTAATTTTTATATTTTCTGTTCTCATTTTAAATTTTGATTTCATTTTTAGTAATTTTACTGTCATTTTAATTATTTTCTTAATACGTCTGTATAATTTTATTTTTTTCAGTTTTAGTTATTACATCAAGTTAAACAAAATGATATTGAGAAATATTGCCTTGTCAATGAGCTGAAATAGATATGTAAAATTTTTCTATTTTATTTTATTTTTTTATGGTGTTAATTTTTATTTAACTATAACTATCCTGGTATGGATGATTTCTATGGTGCTTTTGTGAGTTTCAGAACATGTTCATTGTAATTGCAGCAATATAGCATGTATTTGCCAGATTTCTCATACAGATTTGAAAGAGGATGTGAGTAAATGTAAAGTAATTTTTGGGTGAACTACTGCTTTGGTGATATGAGAACGTAGTGAGAAGATACCTACGCTAAAGGAACGTCAACTCCCTCAGCTCCATCCTCTGTGGAAGAGAGAAATGCAAAACATGTTCAGATGTTTGATGAAGATTTGAAGGGTTAATAATAATAACTCATGTAGTTTGATGTCTACTGATAATTTAGTGTGTGTGTTCTTGTGTACCTAAGGTTTGTGGTCTTCTACAGCAGCACTTCATCACCACGACAAAAATAAGTAACAGGACAAACACAAGCACGACGACGATAGCTGTGATCACCTGAAGTGGGAAGGATTCTGTTTCACCTGCAAAAAGACGACAAAAAACATTTGTTCATTTACCTTTTCCTTTTTAAAGAAATATTTGTGTTACTGGGGTTTCCAAAATGTGAAAAGGTAAAAAAAAAAAAACAGTGGAAAAAATAAAATAGATTAAAATAAATATACAAACAGATTAAAATAAATAATAAAAAGAATATAATTCACAATTAGATTAAAATAAATAAGAAATAAATTTGATTAAATTAGTTTAAAATAACAAAAAAAACTTAGATGCAAATAAATAAATAAATAACAAAACCTGGTTTAAATTAAAAAAGTAAACAATAAAAATTAGATAGAAAATGCATCTAACAGTACAGTACTATAGTGAGTAGAGGAAAAAATTATATTTATTCTCCAAATAATATTTTAAATTGGTATAATACAAATTATAATAATTAAATTCTATATAATTGGGTCTTTTATACATGAAAATGTACAGCCTTTTACATTTTAGGATAGGGTCCCTCGCACGAGGATAACACCGGAATAGTTTGCCCAAAAATGTCCACTATTCTGAGATCATTTATTCACCCACACATTATTTATGTATAACCTCATTAAAATTCATGAGGTAAATTTTAGAGCAGCAAAGGGAAGGATTACAAGTGAACAACGACTTCAAATTCACTCTGTTCAATTGCAAAACCTCAAAAGACTTGGAATATAGTGTATAGACTACTTTTTATGCTTTTTGGAGATGTGGCCACTATAAATCGTAGTTTTATGCAATATTGACATTTAAAACAACTTTTGAGTGAGTTATGGAGCAAAATCCAACAACACACTTACATATGGAGATAGTGTGGGAAACAGCGCCCCCTACGGCACAGCTGGTATTAGTAGGCTGGTCGCAGTTGTACACGATGGTTTGGTTGATGGTCCAAGTTTTGGACTCGTTATCTTCTGAACTCATGTTGTAAATGACGTTAGTCAGATTTGGATTAAGCCCCGCCCATCTGACGGTGCTCTGCGGGTATCCGCCCACCGCCGAGCAGCTTAACTGACAGCTCTTTCCTGCGCCGCCATCACCGAGTTTACTGCAGTCTTTCGTGATTGTGGGAACGCTGTACTCAGCTGTAAAAAGGAGCGAGCAGTGGAATAAGTGGCATTTTAGAGATCCGCAGAGGTTCCCCCCTTCAGTGTTTCACTTCCCCAAAACCCACGTCAAGACAAGTATCCCAGAATCCTTAGTCAGCAGTGAGTTTCCAATGCGTACAAGCATGCGTGCCCCCACAGACAGACTTACATACGCAAATAAACCAACACACACACACAAATAGCCTACATACGCATATTCAAATGATATTTCGCAGAATGGCTTCTGTAGGAGTTTATCAAGGTTATGCATCATTCAGAATTGAAATAAGAATGGCTCAAAAACTGAATTGCATTTGAATTTAAGTACCTACACTCTTAAAAATAAAGGTGCTTCAAAAGGTTCCTCAAGCGATGCTATAGAAGAACCATTTTTGGTTCCACAAAGAACCATTCTGTCAAAGGTTCTTTAAAGAACCATCTCTTTCTTACCTTTTTATAATCTGAAGAACCTTCTTTCACCACAAAGAACCCTTTGTGAAACAGAAAGGTTCTTCAGATGTTAAA